TTCTTACGGTGCTGTATGTGGGTAGTGGCGAGCTATCTGTATCGCGCCGGGGATACTACGACATTGGGAGACCGCCAGGGCGCTCTCGATCCTACGAGGGCCATCATCCAAGTATTCGATCACCAGCGCGCCCACTGAGTATAGACTGTGCCTTGTTCAGCTGTCCAGGACCCGAGCGGAGCTAACATTAGATGGTATATGGGCCGCTTTGCGTATTGCAGCTACCGCTGAATCGGTAGGAGACTCTGAGGCGACGGTCCAGGTAAAGTATTCGCTTGATTCAATCGCTCTAGAATATTACGGTGGTGCGTGTTCGCGCCAGATATCCCAGGCGTATCTGGAGGCTCTTCCAGCCATGCGAGCTATAGCTAGGACACATCGATGCGCGCTCGATGTCTCCCTGGACTCCGACTCGGACTTGATCACGAAGGTCATGGCTGCCTTGGTACCGTCTAGCAGAGAGAATGCTCATATAGCATGTCTGAAGGTTGCGGCAGACCAACGCCTAGCTGAGGAGCTCATTCCCACAGAAGGCCAGCGAGAGATGTTCAATCATCGTGAAATCGACCTGTCGACGCCACTCATCTCCTTGCCTTCCGAATTACTGAAAAATGAGAGATCGTCAGCCTTCGGGAGCCGAGGGGACTACACGTTGGTCGACAGTGCTGCTCGTGTGACAGGAGCCCACGGTGTAACTTCACACCGAATGGACTGCCAAGTAGGATACACCTAATCTATCACAGATGCCTCCTCCTAAGTCTCGTTATGTTCAGTCACATCTGTCCACCTCTTCGGAGTACAGCAGCCATCACACGAGTCCGTCGCTGGAGGCCTCTAACCGAGTCGATCCTTTGTTAGATCTTCCGAAAGCGCCTAAGAATATGAAATATACAATGTCTCGGTGACTCCAATCCATGAGCACCTCATGTCCTGATTTCTCTCCGTTCGCTGTCGGAGCAGTTGTGTAGAGTACGTTGTGTTGCAGGGTGAAAACTGGTGATAGTGAGGTATTCTCACACCTGCAGGACTTACATACCTAGTACTTCAACTCCCCCAACAATCAGCGAACGACAATCAGGTCTATCTCGAGAGAATTGGCTTTGATAAGCGCGGCTCCGTGACTGGCAAAGAGCGACTTTGACTTTTGATTTAATTTTGTGTTGTGCGTTGTCTACCTGGGATGTACAGGTTGGGGTTGGCAAGCTGTAGTGAACAGAGCATTTTCCCTTCCCAGTGAGGTCGCGCACTTCCGAGTTCTTGCGAGGTGGTAATTGCACAGCTGTCGTCGTAGACAGTATGGAACACCAGTGGAT